AAGTCGGACATTTGTGAGCATTTTTGTTAGAAGTTTGATATCGATTTTTTGGAAGACCTCTCAGCGTCGCGCAAATATTTTCAAAGCACAAATTTATAGATTTTAGGTTACGGCGAGTCTGAAACTTTGCTTTAAAACAATTGCAAACTTTTTCTAGGGGGTTTTTGAAGTCTGGGTCTCTGGAAATCCCCTGGAAAACCTCTGAAAAACCTTCCACGACTCACCTTTGCCACACTGCTGGAAATATCGTATGCGAAAACCTATAAAAAAGTGCTTTTGGATTCAAAAAAACTATGTCGGCAAAAAATGCCGCCTGCTCTATGAGGAAATGTCCACTGTGCTTGAACGGTGTTTTTATGAGGCTCTATAAGAAAACATCAGATCTTGTAAGGTCTTGTCAGTAGTACCTAGATTGCAGAACAGGACAATCGCACCAAGCTAAAATTTTATTCGCTAGTGTGACAAAAGCCCTAAAACGAGTGTGACACATATTTTGTGCCAAAAACTTTTTGCAGTGTTCATGGAAGAAAAGTGAAAATCGAAGTTGAAAATCCACTGTTCACTGACTTTCTTATTTTTAAGGATCAAATATAATAAAAGCAGAGCTCAATATACGCAGAAACAAATGTTATGTAAGGATAACTTCCTTATATAAGGTGAAAGACGATATGAGCAGACTGCCCATTGCCAAATTTTCTACGAGGGCAGTCTCAACAAAACGCGAAACTTTTATTTTTTTTAAAAAAACGGTGAAAACACGTGTTTTTTAAATCGTTTTTTGAGAAAGAATATTCATCTGAAGAACCTAAAATTACGTTCAAATACAATCAAAAATAAAACGAAGACCGACGCGTTTTTGTTCAGAAGCGTTTAAACGGGTTTTCTTCTCAAATATTCAAGAAAACAGAAGGAAACGCTAGTATTTTTTCTTCGTTTCTAACCGTCTTTGACAAAATGACGTTTTTTTCCAGTTTTTTCTATAAAAAAATGCGTTTTTCACCGTTTTCTTTAAAAAAATAAAAATTTCGCGTTTGTTGAGACTGCTCTCGTAGAAAATTTGGCAATGGGGGTGACTCGATAACTCAGATAGTTAGAACGTTGGCACGGAATATCATGGTCCTGGGTTCGAGCTCCAGTCGAGCTCTTTCGTTCAGTTCTTTAACATTTCCTTGATTTGAAAAGTATGTTATATAACAGTATCAACCGCTCTGATAAGCGAAGAGAGAATGTCTCAACTACAATTATTATACATTCGGTAATTTTCCTTCCAGACGCAGTCTATAGCACACTTAGCGATAAGAGAACATTTGTCTTTGGACAGCGAATGTTACCTGGGAGCATTACTCGCGAGAGAAAAATGCACGGGAACATTTTTCCAACAAGCATGCGTCATGAAATTCATTTCAGATGTAAGGATACCCTTAAAATATTACTGAAACTACATATCAATTATATAAGAATATCAGTTAAATTTCTGGTCTTTAATAGTGATATGTGATACGAGTGTAAGAATCATATTATTGTGTTTTTGAAAGAACAATTGATTTAACCTCTATAAATTTTCATTCCTTAGAGAATTTTTGCAATGTTGAGAGTTTCGCTTTTTTTGTTAGAAAATGGATTCATCGAGAAAATATGTCGAACAGAACTGATAGAAATATCGACATTATTTATCGTAGAAGCCATAAGAGGAGAATTTTTTTCTTGTGTCTTCAATAAATTTTGTTTTCTTCTGAGAATAGCGTGCTGCTCTCCTTCTGTGCTTCATTCTGCTCTGTTAAGCTCTCTAATTAGTCAAGCGTTCAATGTTTGCATAGGTGACATAGTTTAAAAAAGGATAAACTACGCGTGAAAAGCAACGGGGCAATCTAAAAGGCTTTTCTGATGAAATTATCTTGTTAACTCTCCGAAAACATAACTACAACCGTTACATCCTTAGTCAAGTTAGAAATCACACAGAAAAAACATATCAGGTACTATCGAAAAGAATTTTTGATGGTAACTGGTATTTAGTAGTTGTTGTTGTTGTTGTTGTTTGTTCACTCCTGTTTGTTGTTGTAGCGTTTTATGAATATTTTAGGTTAAAAAAAACCACAGACTTGCTGCGCTACTCTTTTCTTTCTATTTAAAATAATTAACCCAGACTAATAAACTGAGATATGGGCGGTACCAGAATCAGGATTAAAAAAATTCTTTCGAACGATTCCATGAAAATTTACCTTTTCTTCATACTTAATACTTCATACTTTTTCGAAAACTCATCAAGAAGTGTAACAGTTCTTTTTTGACACCTTTCTATCTAGTCAATTTACTGTCTGATGCACACTGTTACCCTCTGGAATAATCACAGCCCACGCCACAGCTTGGAGCATTCTTCAACTTTCCACCATAAACGGAATGTTGTTATTTCCATTTGTTTATGCTACGTTTCTTCAGACATCCAGGTATAATGCTTTGCGATTTCTGACTATCTGTGACGCTTATTTCAGTTGACTAATAAAATATAGATTAAACTAATGTTATTCTCATGTTTTACGGGCAAAAAATTTTTTTCAGGTCAAAGACCGCAGAATGTATCACCAAAACCGGGACTGAAAACATTGTGCCTGCCCGTCGCTAGATAAAATTTCATCTCGGTATTTTTTTCTAAAAGTCACTGATTTCATCTGTTTTCGTCCGCAATCAACTTTCCATAATTAGGGTACTTATTAAAGTTGGACGTGTTCCTGATGCTGATAGAATGCGAGAAAAATATTCAATCATGTGCTCTGATGAACTTGTGAGATATATGACAAATTTATTTTTCATCAATTAGCTCTTTTGTCTAGAAAGCTTATTACCTAGATAACCTTCTTGAATATCATTATTTTCCACATAATCAGCGATATTGTCATCTTTTATATTATCATAATCGTCATTAATTTGTCGTTTTCGTCTAATGTTTAATGCATGTTGATAATTATCATCTCGAGAATTTACTGTTTGTTGTAATTGATTTGATTTGCTGAGATGATATTGATTATTGTCATGGGTCAAATCATTGGTGGTGGAGATAGTAGCATGATGATGAGATGGTGCAGAGGAGGTGTATGGTATTGATGGAATTAACAATAACAATGATAAAATAAAAACAAGCCAGGGCATTTTTTTTTGTTACCCTAATGGGTAATATGTATGTTGCATTTGCATGTATTGGCCCCGACCATGCTGCTTTATACGCAGACGTATACCGAAATAGAGAGTTTATTAATTAAGATGAAAAAGTTTATTATCATGGAAGAAAAAAATGACGAGAGAACGAGAAGAAAAATAAGGATAAGAATAAAATTCCGTTCTGAAACATATAAAAAAAATAGCAGAAAATTATTTTCTTTCGAGAATGTTATAAAAACATGTGCTTGAGTCTTCTTCACTACTGAACAAAAAAAAGAGAACTAGTATATCACACTATTTACACTGGAGTATTTTCGCTAAATTTCGACTAAAAAGAAATTCGTACTCTATACATAATTTTAGTTTTTTCTTCGTTGTTTCTTCTTGCTAACGCTTGATAACAAGATTAATATATTTTTATACATAGGATCGAGAGAAAAATTATCGATAACACTTAGTGTAAACATTGATCAATAATGGTAGAATTTAAAATAGGATTTTGAACAGGTAGGAAAAACATCATTCACATGGTAAAAGTATTAAACGTTCTAGTGGCATGGATAATCACTATTTCATTCAAATGGTAAAATACATCATTTTTATCTTTTCTGACTTATTTTAACACGATGTTGATAGATTTAGACTGTACATAGTTTTAATAGCAGTATCTGTGTAAAACTATCAGTCATTAATTGTTTAAGCCTCTATCAGTTTTCAGATTTGATAAACGATTGTTTCAGTATTTTATGGAGACAACGAACCATCAAGTTAGAACGTATAAACTTTTTCAAAAACGAATGTTTTCAAGATATTTACGGTTCACTTAAAAAAGATGTATCTAATCTGGTGAATGTATGTAAAGTTTACCACACAACAATCCTATCAACGTCCTAGAGTCACTATGGAATTTCAACTAAATCTTTTTTTGAAAAAATGAATGTTTATTTAATTATGACATTATTTAAAGTCATAATTTGCCTTCTTTTTATCCTATATCTTACATCGATCGTTATGCCTATCTAAACAACTAGAAATAGAATTTTTTTTCATCAAAGCTTATTGCTAAACTTAAAACACAGCAATTTCAAATGTGTGACATTTCTCAGTCACTCTTATCGAAAGCGAATGAATGACTACTATTGAACATTATGTCTACAATAATAATAATAGAAAAAAAATTTCTTCCATAATAAACAGGCAGAATAACGAAAAGGTAGGCGTTCATATGGCTTTCTAGATGAAGAAAAATGCTAGATAGAAATATATTAGATCCTATTTATCGTGGTTTTTTCAACTGTCATTGAAAAAAAAAAAACTACGCGCTTTCTTTTCCATTTTTTTTCCTCAATTACGTCGAGAGCGTTCATGTTGAAAAATAATGTATTTCAACGAGAGAATAAGAAAACACATTTACGATAAGGAAAAAAAACCAAAATAAACGCCTTCGCATTTATAGCTAAAGACTATGACGATGTAGATACTGCGTTTGTGCGTAAGTGCAAAACTCGTCTTCACTTTTCTTTTTCTTTTCTCTGTTCTACCGCCTATCAACAAACAAAATTATCCTTTGAACAGATACGTAGGCGATTCTTACAAGAACCGAATGGAAAAAAAAATCTTTTAACAAACATATTATGGTTTTAAGTTAGCCTGAAATAAGTCTAATTTTGTGTTGGCGTATAACTAACTAAACATTGTTAAATTCACCTTTCAATCATCAGTTTAGAGTACATCATCATGAAACAATCAATAAAATACTACCCGCGTAATTATGAAAGAGGCGTAGATAAATTTTAAAGAAACATATGTTAGAGAGCTTGTAAAAAACACAACAGTTGTTTCAGCCACATATAAAGCGTTTTAACAAAACTATTTCAATTGGATCCTACGATGGTATACTTTCCCTTTATATTCGTTCACTCCATTCATTTGTTGTACAATAAAGAAAACAACTAATTGTTGTAATTTCGTGATACAATAGTTCAGTTTCATTCTATGGTATCCAACACTAGCATACATCTCTTTTTATCTTTATTATTTTAGTTCAATATTCTCTATATATTTATTTAGATTCAGATGAGTTTAGATAACATTGAAAAAAAGATTATCTATCATGCTCTATAAGCTCGTTTTGCAATATTTTTTGTTTTTCGAAAAATATATAAAAATCTCAGTGAAAACTTGTTTGAGGTGAACGAAATATGCTGAAAAGAAACATAAAGATCTCATAATCATTTGAAGGCAATCCAAGTAACTTAAAAACTTTCTAATTTTAGTGAGAGATAGAAGTTTTATTCTTTCAGCATACAAGCGAAAAATATTCTATTGTAGTATTCTAAAGTAAAACTATCGAAAAACACAAAATCAGTTTTGTACGAATAGAGATTTGAATACATAAACTTAGCTTTGTAGTATAAATCTCAAGACTGATACTTTAAATGTATAGAGAGCAGAAAATATAGTAAAGTAACCGTTTGTTCAAAGAAGATCTTCCAGGAATCTAGTTAAAAATCATTTCTATCAAATTCTATTTAAAAACATTCCGAAACATTTTATTTTAAATATGATAATAATTAAAAAACTAAAATTGTCTAGATAATCATAAGTTGAAAACTATAGTGGCCTGTTAAAAATGCAATGAAATGTATCGAAATGAAAGTTTGCCAATCTTAACAAGTTTGTTTTTCAAATACTCTATGCTACACCCAAGAGATTAGAAAATTCTTTGCTATATATAAAATATTCACACTTTACTTTCATTATTTTAAAAAAATAATCAAAAAAAAAAAAGAAGACAGTTAAGAAGTATAACTGTAACACTTTGTCAAATTTCAGTGACTTTCCTTCTTCTGAATTAGTTTTCAAAAGGATGCGAAAATGATCATGTTCAGTGTGGATTTTGAACTATCTTTTTACATACATTGTTTGTTTATATGGCGTAAAACGCGAAAAAATCAATGTACAAATTTCTTCAGATGACTTTAAATTTGAAATAGCAGAAAAAAAACAGCAAACAAGTGCATTATGTATACAGAACATACTGTATTTTGTAGAGCAGAAAATTCTCAAAAATTCTTTTGAAAAAGAATTTTAGTACGATATACTAAAACCAATTTCGTATAGAAATTACCAGTCAGTATTGAATGATCAATTATCAGTGAAAAAATGTTAGAAAAAATATTATTTTCCGATGATTAGTTAAATGAAGATATACTTTTTACACAAAGCACTTGTGAATGAATAGTTAATAGAAGTTAACATTAGATCATCCATTACGTTAAGTACAAAAAAAACAACTTGTTCCTTCCGGTGTAGTTATGCTCTTACCTGCCTTTGTTCTATATTATTATTTCAAATACTGGAAACAATGCGTGAATATATTATGTAGAACAAAAAAATTCTCTTATCTTTCAGGCTTAAAATGAAGTCTTCAAAATTTTTATTAGAATGATTGAAAAGCAATAGGTAATATTATTTATATAGTGATCCATTTTATCTGAGCTACGTATATTGAAGAATATAAGGTTAAAGACAGTCACAAGAAACAATCGAAATTTAATACAAGTACCAAAACGAACAATTAATATTTGGAGTTTGTACATTTTTCTTTTTTAGAAAAAATTGTACTCGAGCATTAAATCTAATTTACAAATATTGACTTTTATTCATATTGTTTGTGCTTGCATTTGGAAGATAATTGTTGAATAAATAAACAGAGTACAAAAGACACACTGATCAGAAGAAGAAAGTACAACATTAAATACAGTAGTGTGCAAAATTATAGACTCATCTGTTCAAACCTTCTCTGCTTTTTTGCTGCAAAAAAGTGGCATGTGTTTTGACACGAATATGTTTCTCTCATGAACCTCTCTCATTTTGAAGGAAAAAGTGTCATCTGTTTCAAATACGTTGTCAAAAAAATGAGTCCAGCCTCTATTTCAAATTTCGTAGCCAAAATACTAAACTTGGGTGAGGTTTTCAAGCCATTTTGGCTTGTTCAATAAAATCTAATAATAACCATAAATATAGACGATTTTTTAAAGTCTTTTTTTATGAAAATGTTCTGAAGCAGTTAGCTCCTTTATCTCTCTATGTAACTTTCGAGCCAAACTAATGTCACTTTGATACAAAAATACCGAAAATACGAAATCGAGTCTATAATTGTGAACAGGCAAAAACGACGGGTTTCAAATATTTGTTTTCTCGAACTTAAAAGTCATATTGAGGAAATCTAATTTCATATTCGGATAGAGCATACTCAAATGTACGTAGTCACAAAGGTTTTTCTTTGCACAAGAAAGAGTGTGACGAGTTGACTCACTACAGTGGTCGAGAGTGTTCAAACAAGTGAGTTTGAACAGGTGAGTCTATCATTTTGCACAATATTGTACATTTAGAACTAAAAAAGATATATCATCAAGTATCAAAATACGAATTCGAATAAATATTAAAATAAAATTCTTCCAATATTTTTAAAATTAAATGAGATTCATGTGATTCTATTTCATTGCTGTTTACTCTAACTTTCTTCTTATGGCCGTATAACGTTGGGTATACTAAAAATAGAGAAATATTTAGGATATATAATAGTCACTCTTCATCGAACATTTTACCTGATCATATCCGTCATAACTTTGAAGTGATTTTGCATCAAATTTGTTCCCTTCTAAACTGATCAATGACACATTCGAATCTTTTAATAGTGACACTGGAATCGCATCTAATTCTAATTGGTTATTGTCTAAACGTAATGTTTTCAGTCGTTGACAACGACTAATCTTTTCGGATATTTGCATAATCTAAAATCAAATTTAAATAGACAATTCGACTATTAGAACTTATTAGATTCATTCACTACTTACACGATTTTGATTTAAACTCAATTCATCAACTTGTAATGTTTCAATTTCATCTGGTATTTTAGTTATATAATTTGAGGAGAGATCCAAAAATTGTAAATTATTTAATTTTAATATTGCTATTGGAAAATTTGTAAATTTATTTTGAGATAAATTTAATTGTTTTAGTCCCTTTAAATTCGTAAATGATGGTGGTAATCCATGTAAAGTATTCATATTTAACTGTATATTTTCTAATTTATGCAATGGACCAAATACATCTGCAAGTGTGTCTAAAACAAAAATAAAAATGTTATCTCTTTTGAATATGCATAGTCGTCGACACTTGATTTCTTCTCTTTACGAAAACAACTAACTATTGTTATCATTGTTTTTTCTTGATTGTACGATAAATAAGAAAACATACATTAAAGTGGAATGAAATAAAACACACTTAGATTTATAATTATTTCTATTTTTTCTGCTAATAAGAAGAATTTTTGTAAATTATTATCGAAGAATTAATTAAAAACATCACTTATATGCGAAAATGTTTGATAATTTCCATTTCATACATTGAATCAATAACAAAACGGATGGATAGTCAGATTATTTGATCACATGTGAGGAGTAGTTCTAAATGTATTTTAATCAAAAGCATTCAACACCAATGTTGAATACATTTTTAATGGTATATTATCAAAATAAATTGACTGTTGTTCAATCTAACTGACTAACGACAAAATTAAAAATTAGTTTTTAGTATTGAGTGGAGTACATTTGTCTTCTTTATTTCAACAAGTAATTTTATACGAGATGCTTCATTCATCATCAAAGTTGACTCATATTTATCATCATCCATCTCACCAATATAAATCACTTTCTTTGGTTCATTGAATCTTATGTTCGATTAATCAACTTCTTCTATGGTTTATTTTTTGTTTGTTTTTTAGCTATATTTTGTATCAATTTCTTCAGTGGTTTTTATGAACATCGTTCAACTAATTTTTCAATTTGATATACTCATACATTCTAAGTACAATAATGGTAGTGCTTTTTTATATTTTTAATCTAATCCTATGGTTGATGTACAATTTAGTTCACGTTTACAATAACGTTGTTCTTACAATGGATATTCAGAACCATTAATAACATAGACAAAATTTGTGGCATCACAATGAATCACTTTCATGTAATATTGAAGCACTTGATTGTACAATTTTGGTTCATATTGATAATTACTACATTCTGTGTTGTATTCAGCTTCTGTTTCAGTACTTCTCCTTCTCATTCTTTATTCGTCGTTTCATATTCTTCACTTTCTTATTATCACCATTTGTTTACTCACATTCAGCATCAACATCGAATTTGTTTCATAATCAATAATCATATCCTTTGATGGTGAAGATGGCACAGCTTTTATCATTGATAATGTCAACTTTTCCTGTTTTTCCCTCCGATGCTTCAATAAAATTTCGAATTGTTGAAAAACTAATGCAGTCGTGTTTGTATGATGTTTGCTTAGTTACCATCGATTTTCTTGTTTATATTATTTGTCCATAAATTTCAATCTTTCACATAGTCATCTAACTTTCATGAATACCATATTGGATCTCAGTTAATTTTTGTCCACAATTAGACGGTATGATAAGCGTTTTAATAAAAACTAGACAGAAAGCGAACTGCTTTAAATGTCGAATAATAAAATATATTTACCAGGTCAAACAAAATGTAGTTGCTTTATACTTAAAGATTTTCTTGTAAGGCTGTGAAGAAGAGGAAGAGAAAGGTCTATCATAATAATAACTTCGACCGTTCTCAATCATAGAATAGAAAATCAGAGCAAATAACATTCTCTCTCTCTCCCTAATTAATAAAAACAATAATTTGGATCGATGCATTACTATGTAAAGAAACAAGATGATTCATATCTGCGCTATTAGGTGACATCTAATTATTTAGAAAAAGCAAGAAAACAGACTAGAGAAGGAAAGAAACGCTATTACAAACAATGCCAATAATACCTATATGATTATTTCGAAGACTTAAAACTTTCAAATTAGTTAGATTTCGTATTTCTTGAGGTAACTGTTGAATTTCATTGTCGTTTAAGGATAAAGTTCGAAGACCGGGTATACACATTTGTGGTCGAATCTTAAAAACAAGAAAAAAATTGATTTTTAAGAGAACGATTCAATCAAGCAGAAGTAAACTTACTTACTTCATTGAGCTTTTTATTATCATATTGTAACACATTCGTTTTACGAGCTGTTTCAATATGTTTACTTAAGCCGCTCTCATTATTACCCATTTTTCTATTTCTAAAAGAGAAATCAAATACGGATATAATGAATACAAGAAAGATCCCATGTATATTTGTATTTATTAATACATAAAAAATAATTAAAGAACAAATAGATCAATCTATCTGGATACAACAAATCAAAAATACAACTGAACGCAGGAATATGATAAACAAAAGTAACAAATAAGCAGTCGTTCCACATACTTCCTTTGCGAAAAGATGATCAATGTGATCGTCAAAAACCTTTTTTTGACATTCTATTCGTAAGTTTTCTAGCAATTAAAAGAAAAACAGAATACTTGTTATTAGCATCTATAGGATTCCTAGGTTAGCAAACTGTTTCGCGTACCAGAACCGAAAGGAAATGGCAAATGAACATAGATGTGCGACGAAATATCTCTACAATCAACTGATCAATCTTCTAGAAAACATGAAGGAAGTTATTTAATGATTAAATGTAAACCAAATAGACTGACTGTCCCTTGCATACTTTAAATGTTGAAAAATAAATTCGCGTACACTTTTAATACGTCTTTTTATTTATTTTTACTTGTTTTTGTCTGAATGAGAAACGCTAGAAATACATATAATATGAGTCATATGATATCTTGTCCATATAATAGACAATAATTATGCTTTCTATAAAATAAGGAGTAATTCTGGTTGGTTCGCTCGTCTACAAGTGAAAAGAGGAGTATGGACCATATACTGTAAAACTTTGATATCTGAAAAGTCAAGTGACCATACCATCCACTTTTCTGTATTGTACATCAAGGAAAATTCATGAATTTACTTGGTGACCCGGCATCCACTCTTCTTATAGGTGGCACCTCTGCAAAAACGGATTACGGGTCACCAAGTAGAATAATACTTCTGATCTGCTAAAGTAGATGATGAGCGATAAACAAAGGAAATTCATGAACTTTGCTTGATGTACAATACAGAAAAATGGGTGGCATGGCCACTTAACTTTTAGGGTACCTGAAAAAGACAATTGTATATATCGTGGAAAAAAATAGTTGCACACAGTATTTTTAAGATATTTTCCTTACGAAAATATACTTTTACAAAAATAATCACATATTCTGATAGCGCTTGGAATTCTCTACAATTCTGTATATTTAAATCTGGTCTTACATTTATTTGCTGAAAAGTACATTGATTGCAATGACGGTTCCCTCACCGTCAGATTCCCAGAAATTGTATTGAGTGTGGCATCTCAATATTTTCTATTTTTCTCGGTTTCTTTAGGACCCAAAGGTTAATGTTTTTTTAAAAAGATGCGCCGCGAAATGCTCTACAAAACCATACCTAACCTTTAATTTTAGAGCTTCAATCAAGAAAACTACGCAAATTATACGAAAGACGAAAAAAATGAAAACTTTGAAAATCTGTTATTTTTTTCCACCTGAACCTTTTTCTTTTGCTACTATTTCCGTAAAAAAAGGATTACAAAAGTGAGGAATCAGTTCTTTTTGTACTTCTGAATGTGCTCTTTCTCGTGGTCTGTAGAAAAATCTTTTAGAACAGATGGTGTGGAAAAAAGTAGCGAAAAAATGCACCTTTTTGGTACTTGTCAATTGGGGTTACCTTCGCTGTACTCAAATTATTTTTCAGCAAATAAATATAAGACGAGACATAAATATATAGGATAATAGAGAATTTTAGGCGCTATCAGAATATATAATTACTTTTATAAAAAGCAATTTCTATAGTGATGATAAATTTAAAAAGCAAGTTGAAGAAATAATAACAAAATGCAGCCCGTGGGAGCCTGACAATGTGGGGCCGTCGTTGCACTCAATTTGTTTTTCAGCAAATAAATGCAAGACAAGATATAAGTATACAGAATTGTAGAGAATTCCAAGCGCTATCAGAATATGGGGTCACTTTTGTAAAAGTATGTTTTCGTAAGGAAAATATCTTAAAAATACTGTGTGCAACTATTTTTTTCCACGAGGATAGATCGTTAAAATCCGAGAAAGGAGACTAATGGTATCAGAAGAACCGCACAAAAGGAGGACTATTACTTAATAGATTACCTGATAAATCATTCAATTGAGATTTTGTGAGTTTTTAATCCTCAGAAAAGTAGTGTATTGAGAATTTAGAAGACAATGAAACAAAACAATTTTTTCATTTATTTATTTATGTAAACCGAAATCGTGGTGTCTGATCAACCCAGGGCGAAGAATCTTGAAATATGATCTTGTACGTTCATACAAGATCTTGTAAGATCGTATTATAAGATACCACAAGATTTCACACGATCTTACAAGATCTTACAAGGTTCCACAAGAATCTTATAAAATTTCGCAAGATTTTTCTTACAGCAAGATCTTGCGATAAGATCTTATGACCTTGCAAGATCTGGCGATAAGATCGTGCGAGAAGTGACAAGATCTTGAAAGATTTCATAAGATCATATAAGATTATGTCTCTGATTCTGTACTATAGCTCCTCTACAGACCCTCTTTAAAAAACAGCTTTTTTCTTTTCATAATATTTTGGAGCATAGGAAGGATCCTGACGTCCTTAGTAACGTGTCTAACCACGTTTCTTCTAACCATGCACTTTATTTGTGCTCAGCTGATGTGTGCAGTTGGAGAAAGAAAAAATTCTAAGTTTCATAATAAGAACTATGTTTTATATATACTATCGTTGCAAAATTTATGTGGTAAGAATGAGTCATCGCTTCTTGTAAGATCTTATAAGATCTTGTAACAAGAAATCGTATGATCTTGCGATAAGAACTGACAAGATCTTGTAAGATCGTATAACTTCTTGTTACAAGATCTTAAGATTTCTTATAAGCTGATCTTGTAAGATCTTACAACAAGAAGTTACAAGATTCCGCAAGATCATACATGATCTTGGAATAAGATCTTACAAGTTCTTGCCAAAAGATCTTGCAGCAAGATTGCATAAGAAATCGTCAGATCTTATAAGATCTTGTAAGACGTCTTTCCCATGGGAAGCAGTGACTATGATTGTTCCAGTATTATTCTGTTTTAAAAAGATAATTTAATGAAGCAACTTTAGCTGGAGTAAAATAAGCCATTTCTCTTTTTAACGTAAATATTGATTTAAACTTTATTATAGAAGAAACAGTAATCAAATCGGGCTGTGCCCATTGCATGACACTGGGAGAGAGGAAGAGGACGAACGAAAGTACAAAATAAAAAAAACAAAAAAGAAACTAGACAAA